GCTAGCCAGTGTAAAATTTATGCCTCCCATTTCAGTAGCACAGAAATTGCAAAGACAAGGAAACAGAACAGAACTCTGTTTGATCATGACTGGAAGGTTTTATTTGTATTTTAAAATTAAATAAAAATTTAATTTTATTTATTAAAAATTAAAATTTGTATTTTATTTGTATTTTAAAAATTAAATCAGTAAAACAGAATGGCTGCAGAAAACCTATTTGAAAATCATCCTTGCAGAATTGGAATCCAGGAGAAACTCTTTAACTTTGGCAACAAACCTGTGAAGCCAAGTCCACGTGTGTCAGGGCACACAGTAGTATAGATAGCATCTCTGTCTATTCATTTGTAGTACAGATGACATCTCTTTATCATCTATCTGTCTAATCCTCTATCATCTATCAATCATTATCATCTCTCATCGACCAATCTATCATCTCTCTATATAATATCCATATATCATATATCTGCCCTCTGTCTATCAATTATCTATCTATCTATCTATCTATCTATCTATCTATCTATCTGTCTCCCTATCTATGTACCTACTATCCAACTATTTATCTACTTATCTGCCTATCCGTCTATCTTAGTTTGCTAGGGCTGCCTTGCCACACGTCTCACCATGATGGAGGTTAGAATTCTGAGATCAAGGTGTCCACAGGATTTAGTTCCTTCTGAAGGTTGGGAGGGAAGAAGCTGTTCCAGACCTCTTTCCCTGGCCTACAGATGGTGATCTTCTCCCTATGTGTCTCCACATCACCTTTTCTCTGTACCTGTCTATGTCCAACTTTCCTCATGTTTTTATAAGAACACCAGTCATATTCAATATCCTACCTTAATAATTTTATTTTAACCTCATTACCTCTATACCTAATTACCCTATATCCAAATACAGTTGCATTTTCATATATATGAAGTTTAGAACTTTAACATATAAATGGGGGGAAGGCACACTTTGGCCCATAACACTGCCTACCTCTCTGAAAAGTAATGACAATGATGGTTAGGAACCTACATCAAGAAATTACAATTTTTTTGTTTTGATCAAGTGCTTTATCACTAACATTAATTAGAATGGTCAGCATGTGAAGACAATAAAGAGCAGACCCAATATTTAGTAGGTTTTATTTTTGCTTTTCAATTATTTCCAGAGAGAGCCTCCTCCTATTGCGTATACCTGGGGAGGACCACTCTTACCGTAAGCTCTTGGCACACACTGCCCAACCATAAGCATCAACCTCCATAGGATACACATTAGACAGAGGAGTGGCAAGGAGTGGATCTGAAGGCACGCAGGCATGGATGGGCCAGCCACTTGTCCATGTGTATGATTGCTGTGTCTCACTTAGTCCCAGGCACTAGACCTTTTTGAGTCTGGCATGCTCTCTGCCCATCTCAGGAGGGTAGGAAATGTTCTCCTGCTCCCATGGTGTTCCAGCTGTGGGGAACTTGGCAAGATTATCTTTTAGGCTGTCAGACTAAATACATCACAGAGATGTCCTTTATCCTCCAGCACTGTGAGATCACAGGGAATACTTCATCGACATCCTCAGCTCCACCTGAGTCAGGACACAGATGATTTCTGCCCTTGGATTCTCGAATCTGTCTGAGAGAGTTTATTATTCCCCTATGCCCCAGTCCCTAGGAACTGAACTAGGGAGTGGCCACCAGGCCACTTCCTGGAACAAACTGATATCTAGACCCTCTAAACTCTGCTCCTTATGATTTCACCTTCATCCAAGGACATCATTTTATACTCTTAATCTTAAAGATAACCATGTTATTCTTGGCCCATGATTTCCTAAGAATCTATGCTTTTCATACTTAAAAACCAATAACTGTCTTTACATTTCTGAATTCCATAGTTTCATCTCTTCTCTGGGGGAAAAGGGGATGTACAGTAGTTAAAACCTCAAACCATTGTGCTGTATGTATACTGTTTTTTGATCATTCCTCAAATTATTATCAAATCACAACTTAGCCCTGTGGTTGAATTCTTGATTTCTGCATCTTAGCTGTGTGACTTGGTTGAGTCAGATAGCTTTGCATGTCTCAGTTCTTTTACTTGGCATCTTTTGGTGATGATATCTACACTGCAGCACATGGTGGTTACAAATATCAAAACAGTCGAACAAAACACTTTTAAATACAGCAAGATTTTTTACAAATGAAAAAATTTGTGCATTTAATTAAATATGTAAACTACAAAAGTATTACTCTCTTAAAACATCTTCAACCATGTGTGATTAAATAATATTTTGTGGTGTTAGTTTTTTTCTATCCTTATATTTTCCATCTTTCCCTGGTGCCCATTCCAGAAGGTGGTCAGCAAAGCATTTCACTCAGTATGTAGAAAAATGGAAGGCAAAAGCAGACTGGAAGAGTTTTAGTCTATGCATTTTGTTTCTGAAAACCTCTATGAAATTGTACAATGTTTTTAACAGTGGAGAAGGAGAAGAAGAGTTACAGAGGTGACATTAAAACATTTTATTGGGAAGTAGGCATCTACCACTGCTCATGGATAGCTGGTAACCAGGTCAGCAGGTCAAGTTCCTGGCTATGACTCTGGAAAATGATACCGCAGAACATCTTAACACCAGCTATATTGGTATTTTTCAAAGTTTCCCAAGCAACTCTAATATACAACTAGAGTTGAAATGAACTGATTCAAGTAGCCCAGAAAAAAAGTCTCAAAAAAAAAATGGCTAAGTATGACAGATTAGACAGAGCTAAGAAGCCTAAAAATAATCTGTGAGCAGATAAAATAGACATCTTCTCAGATACCTACGGGGACTGATGATCATGGCCTGACCCTGGAAAAAACCATGGAGCACTGCTTAGCCCTGCAGAAGATGCCAAGAACTGTGTAATATGTGGAGAAGTACTCAAGAAGTTGAACTTCAGTTAAATTTTAGAAAATAAAGATAAATTTCTTGCACACCTGGTTTTGTAGTAAAAATTTGTGCATTCTTAATGTATCTTTAAATTCGCTGAAAATTAGTAAAATTTATTTTTGGTGTAATTGGAAAACTGCTACAGCAGAGTGGAGCAGGGAAAAATAATCTTTCCAAACCTACACATTGATTAATGAAAGGGCAAGCAACAAAAAACGTAGTTCCTGAAATGTTGCCACATATTCAATAGCTAATATTATCTTATAATTGCACCAAGTGTTATACCTTTTTACTCTTTGATCCTCTGGCTAGCAGAATAACATACATACCCATTTAGGCTGATTAATCCATTCTTGTAAAGCTAATTACTTCTAGGTGAGCCAATAGGTAAGAAAAATGATTCTATGACAACTTTTAGGTATATATCTTGCTTGTCTTGATGGCTTACTTATTTGACTATAAAAGACAAATGACTCTTTTCCAACATACCCAATATTAGGTCTTTTTGAATTGAATCTGATTTTTAAAAATCTGAAGAAAAATTCATCTTAATCACTGTTTTTCTTATTTTTATTGCTAATCTTTGAAGATTTTACACTTGTGTGATCTTATCATTTAATATTACCAGTGTTTTAAATACAGTTTTATATTACCAGGGGCTTGACCTACTGACGTCTTGCTGGTGGTTGGCAGAATGGAGAGAAGTTTGGATATTAACATCCAGTCTTGAGTTATCACTGATTTAATGCTTCAGAGTTACTAGGTGATGTTTTGAGGACAGAAATTCATTCTAATTGACCCCACAGCTACATAGATCAACATCGTTGTAATATGAAACTATTTTATTTTAGTATAATAAGGATGAACATGCAATAAATATTTGGTGAATAAATTTAAGCTTCTCGTTGCAATTATATACACAAAATCAAATACAAGTTTATTACAAAATAAGCACAATATTTGAAGAGTTAAAACTGAACTTATAAACATTGATTGACTCATAAGATCTGACAGTTTCAGAAGCAACCCACAGGGGTGACCTTGCCTCATAAACACTCCCCACTCACTCTCACCCCACCCAACCCACCACACTCTTAACCCTGATATTGGTATGTACACATGGGAAAAGAAAAATTGAGAAAATAATGCATGTAACTCAAGCAAAACAAAATACCTTCACCATACCTATTTGTTTACTAGATAATGCAAAAGAGATATTTATCTTAGCCTGATTACTTGCCTGAATCATAACCTTGATTCTTCGAATTGCTTAGCATGTTTATACCTGTGCAGTGACTAAGGAATAAAACAAAGAATAGAAACCATTCCTTCAACACCCAAACTGCAATTCTCTAATTGGGACCGTATAACCTCTAGATAAGAATTGAGTGTTAATAGTCTTCTATTGATGTGCCTTATCAAGATAGATGCTTCTATTTGCTTGAGGTGCAGATAATAGGCTATGAAAAAATATTATTTTTCATTTATAAATTATTTTCCTTTAAACAAAAATTCAAGGTGAGTTTAACGGTATACATTAGAGACCTTAAAATCTGTCTTCTTAATTGTCCTAAGAGAAATCAGAGGTCCCTTTTCACTAAAGTGTCTGATTTTTAGTGTGCGAGTTTTCTAAAGGAACAAAGCCTTTTATTAGATGGACATTTTCATATTTTGACAAATCCAACTAGAAATTATTATTTGATGTTTAGAATTTTCCATGACAATCATTTTAAAACGATCATTACTTAGTTGTTAGTCTGTAGTATAAGAAACAATGTAGATGAAAAATAATAGGCTATTAGAATAGATACATGTTTTATTGTTATGGATTATCAGTTTCAACTTTAGATTCTTATCAGATGATATATGATGGTCAAAAAGGCGTAGCCCTTCACTGTACACTTGCTAATGATGATGGGAACATTTGGCTTTGGAATATGAAAATTGGAACACGGATTGAGTCCAACAATAGTAAATACGTTTAATACACCTTAAGTCAGAATTTCCAAGTAAGTCATTTTCATTCCTACCACCAGTAACAAATGGAAACTTTCATATCAATTTAAATGTAGTCATAAAGCAGGTTCTCCTGCCTGCACATACTTACAATTTCTAACAGGATTTCTAAAACACATTGACCATAGTCCACATTTGGAGCTGAAAGCAGGCATTAGACATAACTGGTGGAGGTCTTACTAAGCATTGCCACGTTTCTTCGCTTATTTGTGTCTGGCACACAGTATCCAGGCACCGGATATCTGTGCCTTTGCTTCTTTCTGTTGCAGCAGCAAAATCCACAAAGCAGACCCCCTCCAATGAAGAGGACAGCAGCGCTTGTCCAGCCAAGGAAAAGTGCTGCTCCCAGCTCTCGTTTCTGACCTATGTGGATGGCTGGGTTGTAGAAATCTCTGATGATTATATTGGCTGTCCAGCTCACTGGAATCAGAACGAAGATGCCCGTCAGAATGAAGAGGACTCCTGAAGTTCCCAGAAGGTATGCCTTAGCCCTCTTATTAGAGCCCATGCACTGGACCTGCTTCATGCCACAGATGCCAATAAGTAGGGCTATCAAGGAGAGAGCAACAGCCAAACACATGAGTGCCCGGGCTGTTTCCAGGGCAGGTGGAAGAGCCAACAAGGAACTATAGAACTTGCATTGCAACCTCACCCTGGCTTGTCGGATGCAGTTTAACCAGAGGCCTTCCCAGAGCCTCTCAAAGACAATAATGTTGCTGCCAACAAAAGCTGACACTCTCCACTGAGGCAGAAGGGTTGTGGCGAGAGTCCCCACCATGCCGAGGAACCCGAGAACCAGCCCAGCAATTTGCAGGGGATAAAATACCATTGTCTTTCCTTTGAAGACTGGTCCAATTCGGAGTGGTAGAAGATGCTCACAATGCAGAACGTGGAAGGCTCTTGAGTCTAGAGAAGGCTTTGATGATGTTCTCCTTGGTTGGTGCCCATAATGTTTTAGTCCAAATCAGTGGCTGTGACTGAACTTGGCCTAACTAGAAGTTCCTGTTGTAAATGCATGTTGCCTTTCTTCACACACATTCATTTCTGTATGGATTATTTACTAGTCATATATAATTGTTTCCCAGCCAATAAGAAGGTAGCTAGAGGTGTGTCAAGAAATACTGCATTCAACTTTAGGATTTATCATATTATTGTCTTAGTAATGCTGTAATTAAGTGTCAAAGCTTCCATTGTGGATTGCTAATTACAGAGCTGAAAATTCCTATGTAAAAATCACTCTGATATAAAAGTATAAATATATGTGTTAAGGCACAGCTGAAGACAATGTCAAAACCTTGTCAGTTTATTGGAGAGTAATTTAAAAACATTTTGGACTTTATTACTTTTTTCTAGCGTAAGCCACTTTTTCTTAACATGATAAACAATTCTGGCTTTAATAAAGATGTCTCAATAGGAAGAAATGTTTAGGTGTTAGTTTCAAGACCCACTAGAACTATTGATACTTAGGAGGAGCCCTAAGCAAGAAATTCACATTTCATAGTTTATTCTTAAGATCCAGAAAGGAAGAAAATAGAGAAGCGCTCCTTATAATTAATTTGAATGAACTGTTAATTATTACATTAACTATTAAGTAACACCTCTCTCTCTGTTAAAATGTTTAGTAAGTAAACTTTCATTCAATACTTCTTCAATGGAAGCTTGAAATATATCACATTTATTAAAGCCAAACATGTACCTTTCATTTTTATAGAGCAATATAAAAGTGGCCCTTGAAATTGGCTATGCAATTGCTTAAAATTCAGACATTAGAGAACTTTTCAGTGCTAGAAGTTATCTTCAAGGCCATCAAATTTAAGACTCTTACTTGCCAGATGAACAAGAGGCGTATGAAGTGTCTGGCTAAGACAAGCCATGTGGTAACTGATCCAGGAACAAGCCCAGGTCTCTAACTCACAGTGCTTACCTCCTCTGTCTAGTGTGATTCAAGAACAGGAAGGAGAGATGATTTTTCGAATCTTTTCATGTGAGTGAGACTAAACCTAGTGAACATTTAACACTATCCTTTCTACAGTTTTTTCAAATGGTTTTCAAAGGAAGCAAAATTCAATTGAGATTATTTCAAAATTTGAGTCAAGTTGTAATTTTTGACTGCCACTTTCCTGCACTCCCCAGAGGTGGTAGGAAGCTTCATATGGGAGAAGTGGACCTTTTTTCTTTTTCTTTTATATCCCACTGTCAAGGGATCTATTGTAAGTATGAAAAACACTCCAAAGCAAGCACACCAACCACACTCCAGGTGGGGAGACATTACAGTTTGCAAAATATCCTCCATCTCAGTCAATTACAGGCCAAAGATTTAATGGGTGGTCCAATGACATCCATATTTGAAGAGTCTACTCACTGAATTAATGAATGTGAAAATCACTGAGTTTTCAAAATGATTGGTCTGAGAACTCCCCCTCTAAGGAATGTGAATCATTGAGCAAACAGATGACTTCTGTGTTGCTAACAGTTGCCCAACACCAGATTGGATGGAGGGTTTGCTTGGCCCTTTATTCATGGTTACTGAAACATAGACTTAACCATTCCCTCCCTGACAGGATTTTCCAGCATCACTCTGACTTGTTACTTCTGGGTCCTCTTCCTCATTCTAGTTCCTCTTCCTCATTCTGTCTCATTTTTATTCCTGTGTTCACTTTGTCCTGGAAGTTTCCAACTTTTCTTCTCAATTAATTGCTTTCTCATTAGCTAGAGCATATTATCTGTATTATAAGTAAACATAAGTGAAACATATGTTTGTTTAAGATATGGAAATATCTCCTAAATATAAAAATAATCTGAGGCTGGGTATGGTAGCTCACATCTGTAATCCCAATACTTTGGGAGGCTGAGGCAGGCGGATTTCTTGAACTCAGGAGTTTGAGGCCAGCCTAGGCAAATAGAGACACACTGTTTCTACAAAAAATAAAAATAAAAATTAGCTGGATGTGGTGGCACACATGTGCAGTCCCAGCTCCTCGGGAGGCTGAGGTGGGAGGATTGCTGAGCCTAGAAAGTCAAAACTGCAGTGAGCTGTGATTGCTTTATTGCACTTTAATCTGCGCAACAGAGTGAGACCTTATTCCCACTCCCCTCTCAAGAAATGAATAACCTGAAAAACATAAATAACGAAGGAGCTCTTGATCTTTGCCTCTCACAGACAAAGCCAATTGTTAAAAACATGTTAACCTTCTCTCCTTTGTATTAGGGGAAGATACTGCATTTCTCTCCAACCTTTCTATGAATGTCATCCCCTTCTACCTCTTCAGTGGGCCTTGCTCTATTGATCATCCCCTCCCTTCATTGTACTGACACCTTCTCCCCCTCTCTGAGTTGTCCCTTAGAAAATAAACATACTTGGTTTTCTTCTATTTTGAAACTCCATCTTGGTACAGGTACACCATGGAATATTATGCAGCCTTTTAAAATAATAAAACCCTGTCTTTTATGATAACATGAATGCAGCTGGAGGCCATTATCCTAAGCGAATTAATACAGGAACAGAAAACAAAATCTCGCATGTTCTCACTTACAGGTGAGAGCTAGACATCAGATATACGTGAAGATAAAGATGCTAACAACAGACTGGGGACTACTAGAGAGAGAAGGAAAGAGGGAGATAAGGATTGAAAAGCCAGCGATTTGGTACTATGCTCACTATCTGGGGAACGAGCTTATTCACACCCCAAATGTCAGCATCAGTAAAAAACTTGCACATGTGCAACCTCCACATTCAGGGTTCAAATGAGTCTCCTGCCTCAGCCTCCCTAGTAGCTGGGATGGCAGGTGTGTGCCATCTGTAAAATAAAAGTTGAAATTATAAAAACATAATAATAGAAATAAATAAAAATAATAAAATACAATAAAATGAAAGTTCTTGCCAGACCTGTATTCCTTTTCATGTTATCTCTACACATCTTCTGGCGCTCTCTCACATTTCCCACTGCTACACACATTGAAATCTGCCTTGAGTCATCATGCTACCCACAAAAACTTTCCTAGAAATATTATAGACTTCTCGGACATCCTAACGACTATCTTTACAAAAACACTTTCATATTTCTGCTTATTGTTTCAGTAAAGTTTGCAACAAACCACTATCTTCTTTTTTTCTTTCTTTTTTTTTTTTTTTTTGAGACGGAGTTTCGCTCTTGTTACCCAGGCTGGAGTGCAATGGCGCAACCTCGGCTCACCGCAACCTCCGCCTCCTGGGTTCAAGCAATTCTCCTGCCTCAGCCTCCTGAGTAGCTGGGATTACAGGCACGCGCCACCATGCCCAGCTAATTTTTTTTGTATTTTTAGTAGAGACAGGGTTTCACCATGTTGACCAGGATGGTCTCGATCCCTTGACCTCGTGATCCACCCGCCTCAGCCTCCAAGGTGTTGGGATTACAGGCGTGAGCCACCGCGCCCGGCCAAACGACTATCTTCTAATGGGAGACAGTGAAGGGCATGTGATCTGGAGAGAGAGTTGTTTCAGTTTTGGCTTGATGCCTTAGCCATCCATCTTCGGCATGTTTCTGAACCCCCCAAAAGTGCTTGTTCTACGATATCAGGATAAGAATAACATCAAATTTACAGGGCTACCTTGAAGATTCAATGGAATATGTGCAAAGAACCTGGTCCTGAGCAAACACCCAGGAAAGATTTTCTGTCAATATTTGTCTCCTTTGTTTGTGTTGCATTGTCATCCTTACTAATTCTCCACCTGCGCATTCTCACTCTTCTTTCTCTAAGTGCCCTTTGCCATGTTTGTTTTGTTTGTTTTCTTCCAGACTTCTGATATACCTCGATACTCTTCTCACTCAGTACACTCTCCCTAAGACACCTCACCTATGTCTGCACAGCATTGTCTACCTCCTGTCAGACTACAAGTTCTGAATTTGTTGTCTTTGGCCCAAGCCTGTTTCTCTTTGTTACCCTCAGCTCATTTTTCTCTCTTATTCTTTAATAAACATGTGCCTATAGTAGACACTGCAATGTTTTACGCAGATATCTTACTCCAGCTCCTTAGAGTGCTGTGGGCAGAAAACCCTCAGCTCTCAGCCTTATTCTGGTATTAACTAGAACTAGGCATGTCACTCAAACTATTCCCCATTCATAGATGCAACCCATATCTAGTGACTCATCAATATGGTCCTGACTGCTAGCCCTCTTAACCCCATAGGGTTAGTACAGGGGATATTCTAGCTCAAGAGCTCACTATGTGGTCAGCTGAGACCTTCATTAGCTCTGCATCCCAACTAAACTTCTCTGTATGGCCAATCCTCTTTCTTCCCTTCTTTTCTTAAGGTGTTGATCTCATAATAAACATAATGCACACTAATCTCTGCCTCAGAGTCTCATGCCCAGGGAACCCAACCACTGATTAACACCTTATTCAAATGGATTAAATATGTTTCCTGTTTTATGCTATGTCTTAGTTCAGCCCCTTGACATTCCTTACCTGTACCATTTCAAGAATGTCTTGCCTAGCCTCCTTGCCTCTGCCCTTCCTTACTGCTTTCTGATTCAGACATTCTGTTGAAGAGCCATAAAACCTTGCTGAATCAAACTCTCTACATGCCACCACCTTACTTAAAATTTTTCATTATTTATCGCCTATAAAATAAGATCCAAATTCCTTAGCATGACGCAAGAGACAAATTTTTGAATGACCCCTGTCCAATTTTAAAGTTAGCCTCTGACTGATCCATTCCATGTCTTCATGGAGCTTACATTTTAGTGAGCATGATAAATACAAAACATGCAATTGCCAAAATACATATTATTAAAAAATAAGGTATAGCTATGCTTAAAAAATATATAGGGTATAAACAGAAATGATTTTAACTTTAAGGTTTCTCTGAAAGAAGGGCATTCTGATGAAATAAGATTTAAAGTGCAACCTGAAGCTTGCGTAGGAATTAGCCAGATATTCAGCAAATAGTAAGAGAAAGAGAATTCTGGGCACAAGAGACCATCTGGGTGAAAGCACTGCAGGCAAAGAGAGCTTGGATCTAATGCAAATGAAAGACTGAGCCAGAGGAGGGTGAGAGAATTGAGGTGAGGTTACAAATGTAGACAAGGTC